GGAGAGAGGGAAGGAGAGAGGGAAGGAGAGAGGGAAGGAGAGAGGGACAACTGAAGCTAAGGAAACAAGCAAGTTGTTGCAAAGGCCGCAGGGAAGGACACATAAGTACACTCCGAAAGCTAGCTCACACAATCCTTAATAACTACAGCAGCTCTGATGAGATAGTCCTATATTTCTTTCATCTCTATGTAGCCCACCGTGGGCATGAACTGTCTCCCCCTACAAAGCAGAAAATAACATCTTTCTGACTGAAAATATTCGTTGTTTTGAAATGTCAAAGTCACATTTAAACCCTCTACCTGAAATGTCAGTAGGATAAAGTTTCATTTCAAATCACTGCCTAGCACGATGTTCAAGCTATGAATTTTAAAACAAGTTTAAGACTTCAAACTAGACCAAAACATGAAGTTTTGGTGTTGGTGAGCCTTCGCTACTAGAAAACAAGCTAGATGATAACAGCAATAGTCCCCATTTTCCTATAAAGTCAGTTGATTAAAAAAGGCACAGAAATTTCTTTCGCTACTCTGGTAATAGAGGAACTGTCACAGCACATTAACAGCCAAGCCTGGCTCCCATAATAACCTGCACCACTGAATAAAGCCATTTGAGAAATCTGTGCTCTTGGGTATCAAAACCAACACAAAGAAGCAGTGCTCAACAGCGCTCTAGAAACAGCACAAACCACACTCACATCACAGCTGGCTTACCTTCCATGAGTTTGGCAAAAGGCTCTGGACATGTGGAAGGGATTGGAAGGGCAAGTTTATTCATGGCAACACCGTATGCTACCGCAAGACCATCAATTCCTCGGAATGGAACTTCTCCTGTTAGCAGTTCCCAAAGCAGCACACCATAACTACCAGGAAGAAACAGAAAAGAGAGCAGGTGTTTGACTTACACACATTCTTTGTTAAGCAACAAGAAGGTACCTGAACCTATAAAAGTGAGTCTGGTATATTAAAGAAATTGCAGTTTTCTGGACAAGCTTATCACGATTGCCAATCTGGTGATGTGCCTTATTTGAACTGCCTTTTTTTAATAAGTCTAAATAAGATGCCATTTTCACCTTTTAGACAAAAATAATTTTCTCTCTAAAACTTGGAACAATTGAAAACCATAAATCTTCTAAGTAATTTAGCAAGTTTCAAAGCAGTACCTCTCAAAACACTTAAAAATGTGAAGGGGGGTTGTTTGGCGGGATGTTATTTTTAAAAATAAGTAAAAAATACTTCTTCAGAATTAAGTTGTTCTTAAGATGTTCCATGAAATATTAACTATGAAGTTATGGAAATAGTTTTAAGACTGTTCTCCCCCTAAGTATACGACGAACATCCTCAGAATATTTTCTCTACTTCTAGGAAACCCAAACCAGAATCTGCTTCTTCACACTTGGTGACCTCACAGGTTTTTCTTTCATTGGTCTATCTGTCCTACTCTCTTCTGAACCCATTTACCATCCACTATGTTCTGTGGTAGTGAACTCCACAAATTTAATGATGCATTGCCAAAAAATACTTCTGTGTATTTGTTTTGAGCTTGTCACTTGGTAATTTCATTTGCTTCACCGTAGTTCTTTCAAAAAAAGAAAGAGTGAACATACGCTCCCCTATTAGCTCCTTCCATGCCATCCATGATTTCACAGGCTCCCATGCATCCTGTCTAAATCACCTTCTTTCCAGACCCCCAAATCCTAATCTAGCTAAATCCTAATCTAGTTACTATCCCAAACAGAAGCCATTTCATATCTTTCATTGACCTTGACGTCTTCTGTTGGAAAGAGCAACATCACAAAGTTTTAAAGATACAGGGAGAGGCACAAATGGTACTGCTTTAATTTCCTATTAAATTTCAATTTGCTACTTGCTTTTCTGACTCTTTACAAAATGAGCTAGATTACCCACAGTAGCTCCAATACATTTTTACTGACTCATCATAGTAAAATTTAGTGCCCGTCATCGTACATATGAAATTCTCCCATGGGTACTACTTTGTATTTATTACCATCTATTTTATCATTCATTATAATAAAACTTTTCCTCAGCTCTCTGCAGTAGATTAGTTTTTCTTAATCCTGAATAACTCGGTATCATCAACCATGATACCTAGCCATTTACTGGGGGTTTTTTTCAAATCACTTATGATTGCGTTGAACACAGAATTCTCCACCAACATAACTGATTTATTCCTTTAGTAATTAAGAATTGACTAGTGACAGGAAACAGACTTGCCCTCTTTTCCCACATTAATTTACTTTCTTTAAAAGCTTTTGATGAAAGATTTTGTTTAAAGTCTTTATAAATCCAAATATAATATAAGCAATCTTACCACTTATCCACACACTCAGTAACTCCTTCAAGCATTTTCACAAGGTATTATATTTTCTTCTATAAAAGCTGACTCTTCCCCAGATATGCTCATATGTCCACTAGCTCCCTGCTCTTTAGTGCTGTTTCTACCATTTAGAAGAACTGAAAATCATACTTGCTAATCCTCAGGAAGCTCTTTTAAGACTTGTCACCATGTTTGCTGCCTTCCATTTTTCTGGTACTATAGCAGCTTTAAGCAACAGACTACACAGGACAGCTATTAACTCAGCTGACTCTCATGTTTTGTAGAAATCTTTGGTATTACCGTAAATCTTAGCAATTTGTTACTGCTCATTTTATCAGTCAGTTTTAACACCTCTGTGGACTGTACTTCAGTAAGATATGTCCTCTAGCTTGGCTCCCTTATAGAGAAATTTTCAGCTTAAAAAGTCTCTTTGCTCCATTCTGGCAGACACAAGTCGCTAAGGTTTTTTTCTGTTACAGCCTCATCTTCTTTGCTTTCTTACATCTTGGTCACCTCTGGGCTGTATGCTCTCCTGCAGGGTTCTCACCTGTACTGCATTTGAAAGCAACTGATTTGGTTCTATGCTTTAAGACTCTCCCCAAAACCCTTTTATCTTCTTAAGTGTTTTATGTTCAACTTGCCAGAGCTTAAGCCCATGCCTAATTTTCCTCATTGGATACAGATTCAACTTTTAGAAGGATATCTTTCAGAAGTCTCTTCTACACTGCCTTTTTCATTTTTTAAAGCCTTTCCTACACATTCACTCAGAGATTTAACAAGTGTCCTTAAAAGGTATCCATGTTCTGTGTTCTCTTTTCATTGTTTTTACACAAAATTCCCAATGTTGTTATTAATCTCCTTGAGATTAAACACTGCTTTAATGGACTAATTTTTCCTCATTGCTCTTGGAAAGATATCGAATCTAAGTACACATAATTTGGACCATGTCATACTGTACAATCTTGAAGGCTTCATAAGCACACTTGAAGACCAAATGAAAAACTGCTGTTCCTCCTACAAGCTCCTTAAATAGCTGCTCCATGAAACAGTCATTTCTGAAGCTAAAAGATTAATCTTTCCTTGTTTCAAAGCAACAGTTGCCCTATCCACTTGGGAGCACATTACCACAACCTGTATTTTTGCAATCTAAGCAAAAGGACCCTACCAAGTCCTTAACATTCACTGTAACTGCTGCCACTTTAGTTGAACATCCTTATCAGTACTCTTCCTATTTAGATATAGGACTTTAGTCACTAATGATTCCACCTTCGCTGCTAACACAGTTAGTTCGCTTTATTCAGCAAAGTATATTTTTTCACCTATACAATATTTTGCATTTTTTTTGTATGTAATTCATATTCTTGATATTGTAATTTATTACTTCTTCCTGCCTCAAGAGCCTTATTTATAAAAAACTAACTAGAGTTAAGGAGTTCCCATTTTCTTTTTTGTCCTTCTAGGATTAATAAGCACTCAAAGAAAATGAATACTGGACTGAATGCATATTTGGACTGTCTAAATCTAATTGATCATTCATGTTACTCTTCAGTTTGGATATGACTCTTGGTAGCAAAAGGTAGTAAAAACTAACAAACGGCTGTATTATTACTTTACCACTAGTATTGGATAAAGCACTACTGATGTGCTCAAAGCACTTCTTCCACAGAGTCAATTTTAAAGGACAAAGGAATAGAGAGATTGGTGTTTCTTCTAATGTGACACTGTATGTGCATATTGCAGGAAAGGTCACTTTGCTTCTGATAAAACCGAATGCCACCTCTTCCTCACATACTTACAAGTACGTTGCTGAGAATACTGCTTCCACAGAACTAGGGGAATACTTCTTTGTGGCACTTGAACAACAGTAATCCCAAGCGATTAAACAGCAAGAGAGGTGCTGAACAGAGTGCTTTCCATTAACTCTCAAGCAGAAAATTGGGAAGTACAAAGGAAAAAGCCAGAGTCAGAAAACTTATGCAAAAAAAAAAAAAAGGCATAGGAAGAAAGAAACAAGGGCACCTACTCATTCTCAGCAGGGAGAAAGAAAAACTGATCAAGCTCATTTATTTTTCCAACACCCAGTAGTAATTTTTGGACTTTAATTACAAAATGAACCATGTGATACAGACCATGCATCCAAGTCAACTGACACTTGTGTGAATAATTAACCATCTTTCAGTGATCCAGTAATCCCTTAAACCATTTAACATCAGGTTCAATCCTACACACTGGATTTTCATGGTGAGGGAGGCTGGAGGTCTGCAGGATTTCACATGTGATTTTGCCACCTCCCTTGTTAGTCTGTGAACTTATAAAAAAAAAAAATCAGTAATTTCTTCTCACTGATATTGTTCCATGGCATTTGTACCATTGGTTTCTCTTCTCCATCTCTCTAGGTTCAATACATTCCCTAGGTTTCAACACAAGGAATTATCAGCCCAACGAGGAGACCCCAGTTCCCACAGAAACTAGAACGTTACTTTTGTTAAGAGACAACCCCACAAACCTCATTACATTTTAATGGCTATTAGCAGTTAGCATTTTGCGTGTTATCGAACTGGCAGTTCCAGAGCTGACATTTTTTGCCCATTTCACATCAGTCAGTATGCTTCTCCCGGGTGAGCTTCTACTAACACTGCTAGTCAGCACTTACTTGCCAGGTACTGAAGTCTTGCCAGTGCTTCATTACACACAGGGAATTACAAAAGCCTACCATCAGTCAGTTGTAGATGGAAGTACTTGACTAACACTTGATTAAAACAAAACATTCTAATGATTGAAGTTTCTACACGCAGCACTAAATACCTCAAACTTCCTGATCTGCTAATCTGATGATTTTAGCTAGTGCTAGTATTGCATTTCCAAATAACAATTAAATTCCCAATTATTTCACTGGTGTCAGAATAGATACATCTTAAAAGCATCTAACTTGAGGAACACAGGGAACTCAGAGGAAGGTTGTATGGTGCTTTTATATTCCACATACCAATCATACTGACAATGACTGTCTTTTAAGCAGCACAAGTAAAAAATTAGGTGTATTTCTTGTTTGCTGCACATTTAAGCAGTCAAATTACAGGGAAATTTGATTTATATGCCTACTAACATTAGCTTGCTGTATAGTACTGGATAAGATGCAATATCCAGACTTCAACTTCACCCCTGCAAATCCAAAGCAAATCTAAATACATAAATAGATTTACAGGAACTGACTTATTTAAATAAAACTGTGGCTTCTTTGTCCTCTGCACAATATAAGCACAAGGTTTCTACTGTATATCTAAAGCTTTCAGGTACAGAACAGCAAAATTCACAGTAACAAGTTTCCACCAGCAAGTTTTACTAGGTACTGGTAATATTAATAGGCTTTACAGTGGCCCAGACCCTGCTGACAGATACCAGTGTGTGGGGCCATTCCTCACTCTTTGAAGTTTTTTGCCAACCCTACTTTACAGTGGGACATAAAAAACATTTTGAATTTTTTAAATGGAGCTTGATACATGTTTTGAAAGGATGAAGCAGTTAGTTATGATAAGACTGACTCAGGAAATTGCAGTCCTAGCAAGCATCTTCTTCAGCATCTTCTTCACCTGTTTTTGCAGTGATAACCCAAGCAGAACAAGATCCTTTTTCAATGGCTGGGCAACAATTCAGCCAGCAGTATTATTCTAACAAGCTTTAGAGAAAAGGTGTTGAAATAAAAGGGTTTGTGAATATTAGAGAGACAGAGACAGCCAATTCTCTTGATGCTGCACAGATCAACAGTAAGGTTGTCAGGTAAAAAAACTCCCAATGACTCCAATGATTAACCAAGAGGTTGAACTGGACAAGAGGAAGGGCAAGTCTAATAGGATAAGAGAGTTCATCCTGTTAAGAATTTCAGGTTGCATCCTTGGGTGGGGATAGAATTTATTACACAAGTCCATGACTGCTTTTGTAAAAGCTAGTGCTTATCATCATTGACACACTAGTAGTGACTGCACTGGAAAGTATTTGTCCTCTGTATACACCCCTCAAACATCATGTTCTTTTCAGTTTATTTAACTATGAATAGAGGTTTTAGCCACCCAGGAGAAAAGGCTTCTTCAGAGATAGCATATAAGTTCTCTTAATGGTGATGACACTCTGTTTAAGGGAGAATACTGTGAGGAACTCAACCTAGTTTCAAGGCAAGACTGGTAACTATAACAAGAGAAAGCAATGAAGGAATCTTAAAAGTAGAAATAAAGCATTCTCGAAATGAACAAATCATTTAAGTTATATACAATCCTTAAGTCCTGACGTGATTCACAGTTCGTAAGTCAATGACCAAACTGGTACTTTTGCACAGCTATAGAGGCACTTGTGCTACCTTCACAAAAATCATCAACCAACCAATTAAGTCTTACCTTTTTTAAAATGAACACATACTGGTACAGAACATCTACTGATCTGTTCACAGCATGCCTGGATTACAATTACAATTACAGCGAAACTGTTTCCCCTTTGCCTTCTCCCTTTCCCTCAGGTTACCCTTAAAGGCCATTCCTGGCACAGTTTCAGGGAAGAGCAAGTTGAGGTTGGAGCTTGACAAGCTGTGTACAAACCAGAACTGTCATCATGTACACAGAAAGGTGCACAGCCCTGAGATTTTTCACTTCTCTCAGACTTCACTCAGAATAAAAGCCTGGTTCTTGCTCAGTTTGTCTTAGATTAACTACAGAGGTTACCCCATTTCATTACAGAGTCAGAATTTTACCCACTATTAGTGTGCAAAATATAAGTTCACAGACTTATCACAAAGCAATATCTATTCAGCAAATCTGGATAAGGAAAATGAAAATCCCCACACCAAATCTCTGCCATAACAGCCAGGCAATTCTGCCAGCTGGGATATTCTTTATCCTGACTGATTTCACAGTATGTACTCACTTGTGCGAGAGCATTACTGGCCAGCAACAGAACCACACTGCTCTGAAGATGAAGTCACCCTGACATTTCAACACGTCTTTCTCCACAAGAAAAACAAAATGCTTGCTAATTCATCTGTTTCAGATGTTCAGTACTAATTCTAAGTCATCCAGCACCCAGAAAAGTCACTGTCCTAGAGCTATTTACTGAATTCTTTATTTACTAATTCACTTAATGGCGGTATTCAAACTCAGCTTCTGGAAGTCTGTGGGCTGACTGTCACACTCCTTCCCACTAAATTAATTCATTCACAAAAATCCCAGTGCATGAATGGAAAAGACAATATATACGTGTAAGTTACTACTTATGGATTGTGTACTCAGACAGGCCTAGAGAAGAGATTTATTACCCTATGAAAGACTAGAAGGGTGGAAATCATTAATAAGAATAATGAAAGTGAAAAACATCACATTTGGATTGAAACTGCATGGGGAATTCAATTAAGTACAGTGTGCTCGTGTATAGGTACATCAGTGACAGATTACTACCAAAACATAAAATTATCTTACTATTGGTAAAACAGTAAAGTACTTCTCAAATGGTATTATGGCCTTTGATTATGTCAGCCAACAGCCAAATAAGCACAAAAAGTTTAGTTTAGATAAAGCAGAGGGGATTTGATTATAAGTCCCAAAATTATCTGAATGCAAATTTATAGAACAACAAAAATTTAGAGGCATGCAGTAGCTGATCCACCACTTTCTATAGTAACAGTAAGTCTGAGATAAGTCTAACAGATGGAAAGCTGATGGATAAAGTTTTCTTAAGACCTGAATTTTAATATTTGGTTCACCATTACTCATTCTTAAACATAAAAGAGGTTTCCTGGCAGGTCTAGTTACTCTTTAGCATCCAATTGCTTAATGCCAAATCAATACCTCCAAACATCGCTGCCTTTGGAGAACATGGAGGAGCGGATGACCTCAGGAGCCATCCAGGCATATGTTCCAGCTGCGCTCATTTTGGTAGTTTTATGCCATTCCCTGGCCAAGCCGAAATCCGTGATCTTCAACATCTTGTTGCTCAGATCTCCATTTTCCACCTTTTCGAGTATCAGTACTGGAGAAAAGGGAAGGGGGGGAATAAAAGGTATGCAGAGTAAAGCTAGTATTTATGCAAAAAAGAGTCTCCTGGAGATCTCCCAAATTTCAAGATTCTCCCTAGCTTTTAGTTATTCAAACATATCATACCCCATTACAAGTTATTTCAAGCTGATCCCTTCATCTGACAACTGAAGAGCTGTCTAGCAAATAACTTCAAATTTAACAAAAGTACCAAGACCCAGAGAACAAATACATAATAACATAATTATTTAATAAAGTGCCTAGTGCTCTGTATAATAATTCTCTGCTAAGAGGAAGTGAACCACTGTAACTTCTAGAAATCCAGATAAGGGAAGACATTCCCTAATTAATCCTCTCTCAGCAAGCCAGTAATAGCATCTTTTTCTTGAACTGCTTAGAGGACTTTTTTTTTAAATCCAGATACACACACAGGCTGGATATGCCCTTCATTTAAATGTATTAGGAGTGGAAGCTCTATGCATAATTTTTTTTTAAAGTCACAATTGAAAAAATACATTTATGATTGGTAATAACATGCCCAATTCCAGATTTCATATACACTACCACAGATTCCCTCTCCCATCATTATTAAGCTACTTTTTGGTTAAGCTGCCAAAGTTTCTATCTAGTCTCAGTGGCAGAGGAATCTAAACCCAAGAACTCCAAAAAAACCTTGAGGCAGAACTCCAGAATGTTTTTTAGCCAGCAAGTTGTACTGTCACACCACTGGGAAATGGGTGTAAACTAGAGGCCAGAAGTATCCACTCTGCTTTAGCAGCATTTCATTATCCTCTTTATCTTAGTGTAAAGTGACCACACAGGTTGTGCCAGCCATGTAACATCAAGCAACAGATTATAAGAGGGCACTAAACTTCCATAACTAATGCAACCATAAGCCTGTGAAAGAATTTTCAGCTTCTTTGTCAAGGACCACAAAGTAAAAATATTTGTATTACTATTAGTCCAAAGACCTCACAGCAAAGATCATCAAGCCAGTAATATACCGTCATCATGCTGCTACTCCGTTTTAATGTCATTACACACTCAGGTTCTTAGAAAACACGAGGGTGTTTTTTTCCTTTTCTATGTATGCATGAATTAAAAAACAACTCAAAAAAATAAACAAAAGAAACCTTGCAACAACCCACAACCACAGAATCATGGATCATAACAAAACCTACAAAAAGCAAAACTGCTGCAAAAATTACTGAACATATAAAAATCATCTTCAGGACCACTTTTATCAGTCCATGAAAAGACTCAAGTATCAGTTTCAAGCTAACACAGCTTTTTTTGGGGGGTGGGGGGAGGGGATGTAGGAAGGAGAAGGAAGAGGAATCTTGCATTCAGTTTCATACTTTCCTACAATAATCAGTAGGAATTCCCATGAAATAAAAGCCTGAAGCGTTATTTGGACCCTTCTGCATAATAAGTAGCACACATCTAAACGTTAAAATACTGCACTTACTTTTACTAAAGTTAAACAAATTGTCTGTTCTTTGAAAATTTAAAAAATCAGTTACTCTTTCTACATGGCTTCAGAATTCACAAAATACTACTTCAAAGGTTGTTGTGGGCCAACTCAAGCTGTGAATAAATTAGACCTATGGTTAAGCTCTTGGGTCTTGCTTCTTTTGCAAAATTCCTTTCTAACATGACTGAATGCTCTATTTTCCTAATTGCAGAAGAAAGAGGAGACTGAGGCCTTCATTTGGGCAAAAGCATATGCATTTTTAGAGCAACACTTCAATGTAGAATAAAACCACCACAAGAAATCAAGGAACAGAAGGCAGCTTCCTTTGAGCCTCTTCTTCTAGTAAGGCTAACATTTTCCCTTCTTTCTAGCAGATGAACTACTAAGAGAAATTGCCTACAAGTCATTCATTGATTACAAAGTGAAAAGCTCTCAAAGTGAAAAGCTTACTAGAACATACATATTATTTCTTCTTCTAGCACACACCCATTTTGCCCAAAGAGCTGTCAGAATAACAAAATCTAATTTTAAATTTAAATGCAGTAATACAGAGATATACAGTGATGTTATAAAGGCAAAGTAAAACTCTGAAACGAGAAAGCATGGGTTTGGGTTTTGTTGTTTGTTTGGTTTTGTTTTTTTTTTCCTTTCCTCCATAAGCACAATGAGGAACAACCAAATGTATTTTTCACAAGGTACATCATATTCTGTCTGAATGAGCTCAATAGCAGGACAGAGCACCATGTACCACAGTTGGTTTGTACATACCTTCCAAGTAGGAGGTTATTTAAATTTAATTACCTTGATTTGCACTAAGTTCTAACAAAATGATTAGTACTTATATAGATCTTTTGTATCCAGAACTTGTTCTTTTGTCAGATGCAGGATATTAAGAAAGTTACCATGATGAAAGACCACAGAGAAGGACAATGAAAGCTGGATTTATTGCAAGTCCTTGATCGTTTAGTTACATCCTTGTCTCCTCTCCTACTTCTTTGTAATAACTGTTTGGGATAATAATCTCATAATCCAAAATTTTAAAAATTAATTTTAAGAATGGTATCTCTTTCCAGCATCTGCTTCAGTTCTCCTTATCATTATCATATTATTCAATGGGCTCACTTGTAACTGCCAGGAGTTTCCCTAGACCATCTGTCAGATTTTCAAACCAAAAACATTGATTCTCCCCCTTGCATTTGCTTGAATTTCAATGAAGAATTTGTAAATAGGTGAAATATTAATTTCTATCAATTTCCTCCTTAAAAATCTCTTTTATGGAGAACACAAGGCAGGTTGCTAGGACACGGCAAATGCACTTTACTTATGCTAATCAACACGGTCTCATTTACTTATGTGTTTTATCTACGACCAGTTAGTGCATCTTGTTTAATACTCTTGAGTGCAAGTCTTCAAGCACTACTTCTGCACTCATGTTAGTCTATCACAAACAAGAAACATGAAACACAAACAAGCAACATACTTCCTACATTTACAAACATACCTTTCCATCTTTGAATAGACTTGATCACTCAGGACTGAGCTACAGTGGCCAGATGATTAACATCTGGCCTAGCAAGTTCAGACACAAATAAAGAGCACTTACTCCAAAACCCAGCTAATCTACCAAGGCAGTAAATCTCCTCATTCTTGGCTGCTGATTTTAAAGATCTGCATATGATACATAAGTTTAAAATAGGTAGAAAATTTAACAGAAGATCTTTCACATTGCCAGCCTTGAAGAAAGAAATTGTTTGGCAGCAAAGACACTGGGCCTAGTTTTCAAGGAACTGGGGAAGAATGAGATCCTAATCAGCAGGAACATGCGGAATGTGTGTCAGCTGGTTAGGGGTGGATCAGTCTTTCCCTGTTCCAGCAGGGCCCATACAAGAAATCTCTTCCTGAGTGCATGCATAGAGCCAGCCAAGTTGTAGAGGAAAGTCTGCTGTGTACCACTGCTCCTCTTTTTCCTCTGTAGCGTGGACTAAAAGCTGATCCTAAGTAGCATGGTGAAGAGCCAACCAGCAGTGTGCAAAGGGGACTGGTGAAGCAAATCAGGTATTACAAGCACATTCGACAGCTTTGAGCACCCAACTACTAAAGCAAAACAATTCAATATAGCAAATCACCAATACCATGCTTTTTGCAAACTGCAAGTGCGAAGTAAAGCGTGGTGGCTTAAACTAGCATTAAAAATTGCCAGCAACTTTAGGTGAAGTGTACCATGAACATGTGACCGTACAAGAGTAATAATCCAGAAGTGCTCACATATGTTTTCATATATTTCTGAAGGACTTGGAACTTGTCCTCTGGAAAATAAGCATTTGACAATGAGAAATTACCTACTGCTCACAGAAATTCTGTCCAGCAAGACAGCTCTTCCACATCTCCACGTGTCCCAACATGGAAGGACTAAGAACAAATTTGCCTTAGTACCTCCTAACAAGACTTTCCCTGGATCAGGTGGTCATCCAGATGCAGGTACATATGATTTAGGTGTGTAATTTCAACCATTAAGAATGTACTAAGAATTTTATTATCACAAGGACTCTCAAGAATCATTACTGGTAATGATTCAACCCCACTATTTTATTTCTTGAGAGCCAGGCATACTGTAAGTGCTAAAAGACAACAGTCAATTGAGACAAGAAAGGTCTGAATTGAAAGATACAGAAGTAGAAATTAAACACTAGGCCTCCTCTTATCTAGGTTAGGATGAAGACTAGTCTTTTTTCTTTGAAATGAAAATGTCTGTTGAGGTTCTTTGAAATGAAAATGTCCTCTATTCTTCGAGAACATCTTTGATGCCCTATAAGGAGTATATTTTCCCACCAGACTCTTGTGAAAAAATTTCCTGAAGTACAGAGAAAGAAGTAGGCACCATACAAACAAAGGGGTTAGGCAACCAAAGGCAATAAGCCAACACATACTGATGAGACAGACTAACCAGCAAAACAGTACAAGGCAGAATTTAAAGATTTGACAGGACTCAGTCTGGTGCAGTCCTTAGTCATACCATCTGACATTACAGCAAGTAAATAAAGTATTGCTAGAGATGAGAAAACTTGTTATCATTATATTTTCAGTACTTTTAGCACAGGTTTCCATCTATGTGATGCTTTGGCTTCTGCTCCGGACAAAACAAGTTGCAGTAGCAAAGAGGAAATTGCATGGTTTGCTCTCATCACTAACTTCATAGCATTTTCAGTCGTCTCTGAGTAGTTCAGAGCTATAGGTAGCAGTTTGTAGTCTATTCTCTGAAGATTTAGGATACCCTTGATTGTAACTTTGATACTTCATGAACAATTACTATCATGCTCACAGTAGTAACTGCAGCACCCAGGACTGCAAGACCATCCCAGATATTAAACAGCGTTTCTTAATTGTGTTCTTTAATTTGTCCTTGTTGCCTTGTTGTGAACTCAGCAATCAAGATCCATATTACCAGCAAATCATCCTTAGTCAACAAGTCCTGGCATTTATCCCTTCTGAATCACAGTAATGTGGAAGAGTATAATTTCCAC